TTTTTTTTTTTTTTTTGAGACAGAGTGTTACTATGTCACCCTTGGTAGAGTACTGTCGCATCACAGCTCACAGCAACCTCAAACACTTGGGCTTAAGTGATTCTCTTTCCGGCTTGGCGCCTGTGGGTCAAGTGGCTAAGGTGCCAGCCATATACACCTAAAGTGGCAGGTTCAAATCCAGCCTGGGCCTGCCAAATAACAATGATGGCTGCAACCAAAAAATAGCCAGGCAGGGTGCCTGTGGTCCTAGCTACTTGGAAGGCAGAGGCAGGAGACTCGCTTGAGCCCAGGAGTTGGAGGTTGCTGGGAGCTGTGATGCCATGGCACTCTACCCAGGGTGACAGCTTGAGGCTCTGTGTCTAAAAAAAAAAAAAGTGATTCTCTTTCCTCAGCCTCCCAAGTAGCTGGGACTACAGGTTACAGGTGCCTGCCACAACACCCGGCTATTTTTTGTTGTAGTTGTCGTTGTTTAGCTGACCTGGGCTGGGTTCAAACCCGCCAGCCTCAGTGTATGTGGCTGGCACCATAACCACAGTGCTATAGGCGCCAAGTTGATTTTTTTTTTTAAAGAGACAAAGTCTTGCTTTGATTCCCCGGGCTGGTCTCAATCTCCTGGCCTCAAGCAGTCCTCCCACCTCAGCTTCCCAACCCGAATTGCATGGATTACAAGCATTAACCACTGTGCCTGGTCCTGAAATTGTATTTTAATACTTCTTTTTTTTTTTTTTTTGAGACAGAGTCTTAGTATGTCACCCTTGGTAGAGTGCTATGGCATCACAGCTCACAGCAACCTCAAACTCTTGGGCGATTCTCTTGCCTCAGCCTCCCAAGAAGCTGGGACTACAGGCACCTGCCACAATGCCCAGCTATTTTTTTGTTGCAGTTTGGCCGGGATCAGGTTCAAATCTGCTACCCTCAGTATATGGGGCTGGCGCCCTACTCACTAAGCCATAGGCATTGCCTATAAAGAGTATTTTCTAAGTATATAGCGTGGATAGCATAAAATTGTTAAAGGAAGGTTGACTATAAACTTTACTAATGCAAAAAATAGTTTAGAGAATATTTTAAAAGGAATAGTTCATTCAGAGATTTAACTTTGTACTCCCTATATAAACATCAACTAGAATCATATTTACCAGAATTAGGTAGAGAGCTGGTTAGCATTAAGATTTTTCTGTATTGGCTCGGCATCTGTGGCTCAAGTGGCTAAGGCGCCAGCCACGTACACCTAAGGTGGTGGGTTTGAATCCAATCCAGGCCCGCCAAACAACAATGATGGCTGCAACCAAAAAAAATAGCCAGGTGTTGTGGCAGGCACCATGTTCCCAGCTACTTGGGAGGCGGAGGCAGGAGACTCACTTGAGCCCAGGAGTTTGAGGTTGCTGTGAGCTGTGATGCCATGGTACTCTACCCAGGGGAACAGCTTGAGGCTCTGTCTCAAAAAAAAAAAAAAAAAGATTTTTCTGTATTGACTTATTAAGCTGTTACCCTGGATAGAGTACTACACTATGATAGCTCACAGCAGCCTCCAACTCTTGGGCTTAAGTGATCCTCTTGCCTCAGTTCTTCAATTTTTAGTAGAGACAGGGTCTCGCTTTTTGCTTAGGCTGGTCTCAAACTTGTGAGCTCAAGCAATCCACCTACCTCAGCCTCCCAGAGTGCTAGGATTTCAGATGTGAACCACCGTGCCTGGCCCTCTTGATTTATTATTATTTTTTGATATAGTCTCATTTAGTCACTCTGGTTAGAGGTGCAGTGGCCACATCATAGCCAACTGTAATCTCAGACTCCTGAGTTCAGGTAGTCCTCCCGCCTCAGTCTCCAAAGCAGCTGGGACTACAGGCATGTGCCACCACACCCAGTAATTTCTTTGTTTTTTAAGTAGATGGAGGTCTCATCCTTGCTTAGTCTGGTCTCAAACTGCTGGTTTCAAGCCATCCTCTTGCCTCAGCCTCCCAAAGTGCTAGATTACAGACATGAGCCACTGCACCTGGCCTGTAACTTTTTTTCTTGGCCTTTTAAAAGGCCAAGTAGTGGGCAGCACCTGTGACTCAAATGAGTAGGGTGTTGGCCCCATGTGCTGGAGGTGGCGGGTTCAAACCCAGCACTGGCCAAAAACTGCAAAAAAAAAAGGCCAAGTAGCGCACCTCCCCAGTTTTATTCTAGTTTCACTACGTATCTAAGAAGTTCTCATTTGGGAAAATAAACAAGCATCATTAAAAAAAAAAAAGAGGTATCTGTTCCTTGGTTTAAATTTGGGTGTTTTTTTGTGGGTTTGTTTTTTTTTTTGAGACAGTCTCATTCTGTTGCCCTGGGGTTAAGTGCTGTGGTGTCATAGCTCACAGCAACCTCAAACTTTTGAGCTTGAGCTATCCTCTTGCCTCAGCCTCTTGAGTAGCTGGGACTGCAGGCGCCTGCCACAACGCCCAGCTAGTTTTTCTGTTTTTAGTAGACACAGAATGTCACTTTGTTCCGGCTGGTTGATGGACTTTGGAAGTTTTAAAGTGGGCATCTGACCAAAGAATGGGCTTTTTACTCTTGTTTGTGCATAAATGATAAAATAATCTTAGAAATATTATTTTGTCTTTAAGAGATTGCTTGACTGCTGAAGTAAATAGGTATCTACTTTTGTCTGACCAGGAGTTACTCTTAATTCTAAGAAAAACAACTGGAAGAACAATGGGAGATGACAGTGAATGGTTAAAACTGCCAGTTGATCAGAAATGTGAACATAAGGTAAGATTTTTCTGGAATTCAAATTTCAGTGTCATTGGCTTGTTTTATCAACAGTTACATTATCATCTTACTTAGAAACATGTGAAAATATTGGCAATTTAAAAAATACCAATGTCTTGTATACAGTGGAACCTCCATAGTTGACCTCCTTCCTACTTTGACCACCTTCTTAAGTTGGCTCAATTTTCATAGACCAGACATGCACCACATGCACATATTTAGGGCGCCAGCCACATACACCAGAGCTGGCAGGTTTGAATCCAGCCCAGACCTAACAAACAACGATGACAACTACAACCAAAAAATAGCCGGGCATTATAGTGGGCACCTATAGTCCCAGTTACTTGGGAGGCTCAGGCAAGAGAATTGCTTAAGCCTGAGAATAAACCTAATTCCCACCCTAAATTACATTTTCTGTTCTCTTTTCTTTTCTTTTCTTTCTTTTTTTGGGACAAAGTCTCATTCTGTCACCCTCCATAGAGTGTCATGGCATCGTAGCTTATAGCAATGAGTTATCAAGCTCCTCAAGTGATCCTCTTGTCTCAGCCTCCCATGTAAGTGGGACTATAGGTGCTTGCCACAGTACTTCACTACTTGCTCAAGCTGGTCTCGAACTCCTGAGCCTGAGCTCAAGAGATCTTCCTCCCTCAGTCTCCCAGAGTGCTAGGATTACTCACCTGCCTCCAAATTGTATTTTCATTTAAATGAATAATATATAAATTATTTCTCATTTTTCAATCATATGGTGATTCTCAAACTCTTGGACTCAAGCAGTCCTCTCACCTCAGCCTCCTAAGTAACCAAGACTTCAGGCATGTGCCACCATATCCAGCTCAGTTTTAAAAATTTTCTTAGAAACAGGGTTTCACTATGTTGCCAAGACTGTTCTCAAACTTCTAGGCTCACATGATCCTCCTGCCATAGTCTCTTCAGTAGTGTGGGACTATAAGCATCAGCTACCATACTCAACCTTCTCTTTCTTTGATATAGTGTGGAGGACAGACATGTATTTTTTTTTTTTTTTTTTTTTGAGACAGAGCCTCAAGCTGTTGCCCTGGGTAGAGTGCTGTGACATCACAGCTCATAGCAACCTCAAACTCTTGGTCTTACGCCATCCCCTTGCCTCAGCCTCCCAAGTAGTTGGGACTACAGGCGCCCACCACAACGCTTGGCTATTTTCTGGTTATAGTTGTCATTGTTGTTTGGCAGGCTGGGGCTGGATTTGAACCCACCAGCTGCAGTGTACGTGGCTGGTGCCCTAGACACTTGAGCTACAGGCACCAAGTCAGACATGTATTTCTTTACAAGTGCCAAACATAAATTCAGATTGATCATTTCACAGAGTAACATCTCACATAAGTTCCCCATAATCACTTCAGTATTTTCCCCTTGCTCTTAGAATAAGGACAGAATCTTTCATTTGGCTTTTATAATTCTGCATAGTCTGACCCTTTCCAACCCTCTCCAGCTCATTTTGTACTATGTTCCTCCTCTCTTTATAGGAATGAGAAATACCATATTCACTACTATTGTAGGCCCTTGAAATATATTGTTTCTCCTAGAATGTTCTTTCTCTCTTCATCACTGCTTCCTGATTAGTTCTTATTTTTCAGAGTCAGCTCAATTACCAGTTTCTTAGGAAAACTCTGTTACCTAAAGACAAAATAAGCCTTTAGTACACACGTTCTATATAGTATACACTTTCATTGCACCAGATTTCTTCTCCTTTGCAGTACTTAATGCTTTGTTAATTTTAAATATATTTGTATGATTGATTAATGTCTTTCTCCTTTCTGCTGGAATGTAAGCTCCATAATGACCAAGGCTGTTGAATAAATTAATGAAAAAAGAATACTTAGTAAAGATGTCTGAAACCTACCAGTTAAAATTAGTAAGTTTTTAGCCAGGTGCTGTAGATTGTGCTGTAGTTCTAGTTACTTGGGAGGCTGAGGCAGCAGGATTGCTTGAGACCAGGAGTTCAAGTTCAGCCTGGGCACTATGACAAGACCCTGTCTCTTAAAAAAAAAAAATTGTTGGGCAGCTGCCATAGCTCAGAGGGTGAGACACTGGCCACATACACCAAGGCTGGCGAGTTTGAACCCATCCTGGGCCTGCTAAACAATGACAACTGTAACAACAAAATATAGCTGGGCATTGTGGTGGGTGCCTGTAGTCCCAGCTACTTGGGAGGCTGAGGCAAGGAAATTGCTTAAGCCCAAGCGTTTGAGGTTGCTGTGAGCTGTGATGCCACGGAACTCTACCCAGGGTGACAGTTTGAGACTCTGTCTCAAAAAAAAAAAAAATTGTTGGGCAGTGCCCACAGCTTAATGGGTAGGGCGCTGGCCACATATATAGAGGCTGGCAGGTTCAAACCTGGCCCAGGCCAGCTAAAACAACAATGACAACAACAACAAAAATAGCTGGGTGTTGTGGCGAGTACCTGTAGTCCCAGCTACTTGGGAGGCTGAGGCCAGAGAATTGCTTAAGCCCAAGAGTTTGAGGTTGCTGTGAATTGTGATGCTACGGCACTGTACCTAGGGTGACAGTTTGAGACTGTCTCAGAAAAGAAAAGGCTTGGTGCTCATAGTACAGTGGTTATGGCACCAGCCACATGCACCAGAGTTGGTGGATTTAAACCTGGCCTAGACCAGCTAAACAACAACGACAACTGCAACAACAATAAAACAGCTGGGGCTCGGCGCCTGTGGCTCAAGTGGCTAAGGCGTCAGCCACATACACCTAAGGTGGCGGGTTCGAATCCAGCCCGGACCCGCCAAACAACAGTGACAGCTGCAACCAAAAAAAAAAAAAAAAAAAAAAATAGCTGGGCATTGTGGCGGGCACCTGTGGTCCCAGCTACTTGGGAGGCTGGGGCAGGAGACTCGCTTGAGCCCAGGAGTTGGAGGTTGCTGTGAGCTGTGAAGCCACGGCACTGTACCCAGGGGCATAGCTTGAGGCTCTGTCTTAAAAAAAAAAACAGCTGGGCATTGTGGTGGGCGCCTGTAGTCCCAGCTACTTGGGAGGCTGAGGCAGGAAAATCACGTAAGCCCAAGAGTTTGAGGTTGCTGGGAGTTGTGATGCCACTGCACTCTACTGAGGGTGACATAGGAAACTGTCTCAAAAAACTGTTATTGATTACTATAAAGTTGCCTAGTGATTACACAAATACAACCAAAAAACAGCAAATTTTGAAGATTGGGCAGTTTTATGAGAATGATTACTCATATTTGAGTTATCACATCTTTAATGCCATATTATGAAGAAGTAATAACTAATACTTGGATACAATGTAAGGCATATTTATGATGGCCTGTTACGAATTTTTGGTGGCCTTGGCAGAGTATCATAAATATTAAACACTTATTTTTTTTTCTTTTACTTGCGAACCTTCTAAGCAATATATTAAACGCTTGTAAGAAGTTTATTAGCTACACTTTTTTTCCAAACTGTCTGAATTTCTTAAGTTCCTTTTTTGTTTCTAGTCATGGAATCCTTTATTTTAATTATCTGGTATAGGGTATTCATTTTTACTCCCTTCCCCTCAAATTAAGAGCAGATGATAATATTATTAAATTTATTTTTCTTTTAGCTGTGGAAAGCAAGGTTAAGTGGGTATGAAGAGGCCCTGAAGATCTTCCAGAAAATAAAAGATGAAAAGAGCCCGGAATGGTCTAAATTTTTAGGATTGATCAAAAAATTTGTCACTGATTCCAATGCAGTGGTTCAGTTGAAAGGATTAGAAGCTGCACTTGTTTATGTTGAAAATGCCCATGTAGCAGGAAAGTAAGTAGTTTCTTTCCAACTATTCTGGCAGAAACTCCTGTTTGGTACCACCTAGATTAATTTATATATTCTTGTAAATCACTGTCCTTAGTTATTAGCAGTTTTAGAAAATATATTTTCTTTTATAATTCCTTGATACTTATTTTTCATTCAGTCTTGATCTATTTTCAGAAGTCTGAATGGTACATGAGCTCTCTATAAAGAGAAGTACATTAGAAATCAAATCTTGAGTTTGATGTGCAAGTGGTTTTCCTTTTGAGCTTTATGTACGGGAATTATTCTAGAGTAGAGGGGAAAGTCTTTAGCAAGTTTTAAAAGAAACTGAGAGGTGGTTAGTAAAGGAATTACCAGCATTTCACTGAAGATATTTAGGCATTACAAAAAGATCAATTTTTTACAAGGGTTCTTAGCTCGGTGATCTTAGAATCACATCTTTCTCTCCATGTTCATTAGACATTTTTATCTCTTGGGGAAGGTAATGTTAACTAGATGATCTCTGTGACTCACATTATTGTTTGACTTGATTTATGGATGACAGAGGTCATTCATCTTACTTTCCCATATCTCAAAGACCTAATTTTTCTAACTCTTGCTTTTATGTCAATCAAAGGAATCCTGCACACCAAAAAGAAAAAAAGTCAAGACCCTTGGCTTAGTTACACAAAAAATATACTTGTGATTGCAGCAATAAAGGTCATCTTTGATGTGACAGTTTGGTTAACCACCATCACTGGATTTCCTTTGCCCTTAGTGAAACCATTGCTGTATTTTCATGTCATTTTTCTTCTGAAACTGCTTTTTGACAAATTCTGCATATAACCCCATTGTACTCAATTCCTCTAATTCTTAGTACAACAGGTTTTATTTAATCTAAAAGAGATTTAAAGCAATAGTTAAGAAGTCAAAAGCAGTCATTCGTTTTTAAAGGTACATATCCATCCCCTCTGCGAAGAAATTCCCTTGTTCTAAGAAGTGTTTAAAACAACTTAAAAAAAAACTGTAAAGCAAGCTAGCTCTCTGTAATCCTACTTTTATAAAATATATTTCTATATCCATATATGTGCTTGTGTGTGTATGTGTACATGTATACACACATGCTTAGAGAAAGATCTGGAAGGGTGGATATCAAAAAGGTGAAAGTAGTTTTTTCTGAGTAGTGGGATTTTAAGGAATTTTTACTTGTTTGAATTTTCTGCATTATAAACATTAAGTGACAGTATGTCTGATGCGACATGTCTTAAACTTTTATTTTTGCATGGTGTTTTTAATGTTCTTGAATATAAAAAGTTAAACACTCATTTATTACATCTCTAAAAGTACTTCTGCATGACCTTTTCCAAATTCCTTCTACTAAAGTGTGTTTTTCTCTCTTTATAATATGCATTACAGAACCACAGGCGAAGTTGTGTCGGGTGTTGTAAGTAAAGTGTTCAACCAGCCTAAAGCCAAAGCCAAGGAGCTAGGCATAGAGATTTGTCTCATGTACATAGAGATTGAGAAAGGAGAGGCTGTGCAAGAAGAGCTCTTGAAAGGCCTGGACAATAAGAACCCCAAGATTGTAGTAGCCTGTATAGAGACACTAAGGAAAGCCTTAAGGTAAGCCTTATTCTTTTTGCTTTAGTCTGTTAACTAGAGTATCTCAATTCAGTTTGTATTCCTGATTTAAACAGAAATAGAAACTACTAAAATTTGACTTGGCATGCCACAACAACAAAAAAAGTGACCCAGAAAAAGAAAGTCATTCCTCAACAGTGGCACCTCTTATTGAGTAATTTTAACCTTCAAGTGTGTTGCTTAGTTATTTTATCTAAATCTTTTCCTAAAGAAATATTCTCTGCTCATCTTCATATCTGTTCTCAAATTAAGAATTGGACTTTTCATGGGACAGAAGTCCTCAGGGTAGAGAAGCAGCTTTTTTTCTCTTGCTATACTCAAGTGTGGACTTACATACTTTAAAATATTGGCCAAAGACAGTTTCTTGACTGATGCAAACCTCTATTTAGGTGCCTTTTTAGTAAAGTGGAAGCAAATGCTGTATGCCTTTAAACAGAAACACAGCAAGAGCAAGTAGAAAATAACTTTTATGTAATAAGTTATTTTCAACCCTAAAATTTTTTGTTTGGCAATGGAATTTTTATGAATGGAATCTCTTTCAGGAACAAGTAGCTATAATTTACTGTGAAAATCTAAATTAGACAAATCACTAATTGGTTCAGAATTGGCAATCCTTCTAATCTGATATCCTATTTCTAATACTGTCCACATGAGATACTTTAGAAAGGAGTTATAGTGAAATCCTAATAGAGTGAAGATCATCCCAAGTAAACTCTCTTATGATTTGTTATTTGATCTGTGTCTTGAAGAAAATGTTTCGTTCTGTGTTTATCTCATGTGAAAATATAAAAGATTTTTAATTTTATTAAACTCATCTTTGATTTATAAGTTTTTTATATTATCTTTTTCTCTAATAATGTTCTTTTATAAAATTTGACTTAGACTTTTTATGTGATCGATTTCTTCCTTGTTTCTAGCCCATTAGGGTAGGCACATGTTTTTGTGAGTGGTAAATGGTATGCTCATTTTTTCATGTTAGAAATTTAGTGAATTGACTTAGTATCAGTAGATCTCTTGTGTCCTTAGTAATGTCTTCATAAAAATACAGAGTGCCAAAAAAGTATACACATTTTAAGAAGGGTAAGAATGTATTAAAATTGTAATACTCAGTATATACCATAGTTTGTTATTTTGTACATTGTATATCATATCTTGTTATCTCTTATAATTGCAGAAGTGGCTTGAGTATTACAATTTTTATACAGTTTTTTCTTTAAACTGTGTATACATATTTTTGGCACCCTTCGTATATAATGGTACTATAATCTTCTACCTTTAAATTAGAATTTTCTGGTCTGGAATATTATAAACTCTGGTTATTTCACTTTTAAGCTAACTAGGAGAATAAGGGTAGGAAAAAAACAAGTTAGGTCTATCTTATTTTTCCTTGCAAATGTTGCTATTTAATCTCATCCCTGTGTGGTTCTTTATTTGTCCTAAAGTATTTCATAATCTGTAGTGGAACTATCTAGTTCTCTGTGATACTCAAGGCCAAACTGCTCTATCCTAGGTTCCAGAGCCTCATAAAGCTTTGTTAATGATAGCTTTGGGTGACTAAAAATATCCTGTGGCACCTAAAACAGGCTTCTAGAACCCTTTGGTTTTTTCTTAGAATAATGTGTTTAGTATCAGTGTTAGGTTTTGTTTAGTTAAAGTGTCTATTTCCCATGTGGACTTGCTCCTTCTGTTTTTTTCTTACAGAAGTAGGTGCCAGGATATAGAGAAACAAAAAAGAATCAGATGAAACAGTAGTTATGTAATAGAAAACTTAAGAGATCACAAAAGTTAGTTAGGTTCTTCAGGTACCCTGTTAAATATCCTTAAAGCAAAATGATTTATTATCCTTGTAATTTCTTATTTTTTATTTAGTCTGAAAGGTTAGCTGAGTCAAGTTAAAATATTCTCTAATAATATAAAGGGCATTTAAAAGGCAATCTTAGATATCATATAGTTTATTTTCAGGCTATAATATCTATAATGAAACTATATCACATTGATAGGTGTCTTGTTAAAAATCCCTTTCTAGGGAAAGCATTTTCATAGTCTCCTTTAATCTGTTGAAGTATGTCAGTTGTTATTACTGAATAATTTTGTTGCATCTGTGCATATGGGATAACTTTGTGTACATTAGATAATAGGTAAATAATGTATTTGGGTTTTCCTACTCATTCAGAGTTTCAGTGTTCTTTCATAACTAAACCCTTCCTGCTCCCTAGTTGAAGGTGTGTTCTGAAACATCAGTAGTGATATCAGATAGCTAAAATTGGCCGTGTGGGAAGTTGAAAATATAATATATAACTGCTGTGTAAGGTTAAATATTCCATCTTTTAAAAAGCAGTTAGAATAAAACCATTTTCCCCAAGGAAAACTGAAACAAAGTGAGATTTAAGTTGCTCAAAGATGTGAATGAAGCATATGCTGGCAGGATTTCTGATATAGCTGTTTGAGCGAATCGCCTTAATTATAGGAACTATTAAGAATTTATTACGAGTATATTTCACTCATTTAAATATATATAAACTGTTTATATTTTATATATACACATTCATGTGTATATTTTAAGATATTACATGTGTTGACACTATATAGATTTGAATTATTTTAGTCCAGTTACTTGCAAAGTAGGTGATAACATTGGCTGGGTACCCATAACACAGTGGCTATGGCACCAGCCACATATGCCGAGGCTGGCAGGTTCGAAACCAGCCCAGGCCAGCTAAACAACAATGACAACTGCAACAAAAAATAGCCAGGTGGCTCAGCGCCTATAGCTCAACCGGCTAAGGCGCCAGCCACGTACACCTAAGGTGGCGGGTTCGAATCCCCAGCCCGGACCTGCCAAACAAC